GGAAGAGCAGAGACACAGGGAGCTAAATTTGTGCAATGTAGGAAAGCAGCAGCTCAGTCAGAGATACATCCCAGCCTATAAATACCCTTTGGCTAATACTATGATCGAAGGAAGGAAATATATTGCCGCTCCACCGGCCAGTAGGATAGAGAGTAAATATCCTGAAGTGGACAAAAAAGTTGTTTAGTCTGCAGATTTGGAGGCATTTCTTAACAGCAGGAGTGGTTGGAGCGAGTCTGGGGAGGGGGCAGCCAGGCCTTATTTCCCTGGTATGCACAGATCCCATTATAAACCATCACTGGGTTTTCAACACCAGCCCCGCTCCTGGTGCAGGCAGCACCTGGCAGCGCCTTCATCAGGACGAGAACAAGGATCTGGCTTTGCTCACTGGTGGTGAAGGCTGTTGTGAAGTGGTGGGGATGGCGAAGGCACCGAGGAGGTGCCAACCTGGGGCTGTCAGAGATGAAAGCTTCAAGCAGCCGAGAGCTGTGGCTCCATGCCCTGCACCTACGCTGATCCGTGGTTAATGTTTTCCAGTGCCTTTTCCTGGAGTAAAGCAGGAACAACTTTCTCCTAGAAGCCAGGCCAGCCAGCCGGAAAGTCTGGTTCTGCAGCCGTCCCAGGAGGGCTCCATCCTGCGGGGTGAGGATGTGGGGGCAGGAGGCGTGAGCCCCAGCTGTGGGAGGGGAAGGGTGCTGGCACTGCTAGGCAGAAGAAAATAAGTGCAAAGGTGTTGCTTTTAAATGCAAATTCTGGTTTGTGAAACCCTCCCCGACTAAGGCAGTGGGATGCAGGAGTGCAGTGTGCTGGCTCCAACCTGGCGCAGATAACAAGCGAGTGAACTCAAACCACCCTGAGCTGCATCTCTCCAGGGATCTGCTCTGATCGCATCAGGAGAGGGTGAGACAAGCTGTGCTTTCTCCTAGGCCCATAAATCTGCCCAGCTTCTTCACGAAGGCGGCAGGGAGCTGATAGCCTCAAAATACCCATTTTTTCCATCTCCCAGCCTCAGGCTGGCAGGACTGGGTCCCTTGCGGGGCAGAATGGGAAGGGCTCTTCAAGACGTGGGATTTAACACTGATGTCTCTTGGAGGGCTTCCCCTCTGTTACCTCAGCTGAGGATGGGGTCAAATCCTGCGCTTAGTCAGTAATCACAGCCCCACGGGTTTTGTGCTGAATGACAAATCCAGCCCCCAGCTCACTGGTTTTGTGTCCTGCAGGTACTTCGCTGAGCTCTGCCTCGGGAGGAAGCATCACCAAGGGAACACCCACATCCAGACCCCCTCTGGAGTCGCCCATCACCTACCGAGGCTCCATCACACACGTAGGTCCCTTGTCTCTGGCAGCTTTTGCTTCCTGGGGGCTGGTGGCTGCAGTTTGGGGGGCTGGATACAGGGACCGGTGGTTTTGGGAGGGGCACTAAGCAGCTGAGCAGCACAGGTCTGTGCGATGTTCCCATCCCATGGAGCCCCTCAGAGAGGTCTGTGGTCACAGCCTTTGCAAACAGCTTCTGCTTGGGATGGCACAAACCCTGTCCCCTGAGCTGAGCCTGCAGAAGAGCAGAGCTCGACAAGCAGCAATGCAGAGCCTTGCAGCACGTCTAAACCCCTCTGTTGCTTTTTGTAGCTGTCAGAAACAGAGGCAAAAGTGGCTTTAAATGGCTCTGGGAAAATAATCTCTCCAGTGCAAGTGGAGTGGAGAGAAGGAGGAGATGGGTGGAGAGCCCAGGCCAGACGGAGGAGAGGGGGAGGCTGCGAGGTACATGTAAGGTAGCGAGATCTCCTGCCAGAGCTGAGCGTGCTGCACTGGGGGTCCTGCCCAAAGGCTCTCTTGAGCAGGAAGATACTTTGGCCTTAATCTCTATCATCCATCTTCAGAAGAGCAGCTGGCAAGCGGGTGATAGTTTTTTGCAGTGTGAGTTATTGCTCATCTGGTAACAGTGCAGGGAGAGCGTTGGGGAAAAAAATAATCTGTTTCCCGTGGGGATTTTATCTGGCCATCATTCAGATACTCAGAGCCGCTCATACTCAGATTTTTGCCTGCCTTCTTCAGGCAGGCTGACCGTATTCGCTTTGGCCCTGGGGACCTGAACCTGAATCCTGGCCCAAGACCAAAGGCTTAGCTTGCCTGGTGCCCTGCAGCCAGCAGCAGCCAGGGGCAGATGCTCAGGGGCTGTAAATAACCTGACAGAGCAAATGCAGGCTCCATCCCTTCGCACGCCCCTGCAGCAATGGGTGGGCATGAATGGTCTTGAGCCACCAAGTGCCAGGGATCAGATGAGCAGAATTGCTGAAATGCTATTTTACATCCATCTTGATTGCTTTGTTCAGTTTGGGAATAAGGTACCGAGCCCAGACCCAGGGCATTCCTTGCCTCTCCCACTGGCCCAGCAGCCTGCATCGCTCTGCTCCCGTTGGGGAGCAAGAGCCCCCTGTTGTGGGTACTGGAGCTGACATTTGATCTCAGATTAGTAATCCTTTACACAGAAGGCAGATCTTGAATATATGCTCTCTGCTCTGAAGCCATCTGTCATCACTTGCTTTCAAATCCCTTCTGAGCACGTCCACAGAAAGGAGATGACTTACCGGGGGCTGGGAAAGCCAGTACCAGGTGTAATGTGAGGGTGCATGGTCAGAGCATTGAACCCATGTGCTGGCATGTCCCAGCAGCAGCAATGGAGTTTTGGGGACTGCTGGAGCTCAGGGGGCTTGATACAGAGCAGAGACATCTCCATGCTGGGGCAGGGAAATAATCTGCACTGACACAAGCTGGAAGCACCAGCAAAGCTGGCTGGGACATCGCTTCCGCAAGGCTTCCCACAGGCTTCAGTCCCGGGGCTTGGTGGGGTTAAACAAGCAGAGGTGTCAGTCAAGAGCTTCGCTCTGACAGCATCCCTGTGCCACCTCTGCGAGGGGCTGGGGGACTGTCACCCCACGGTGGCACAGTTGGCAGCGACAGGTTGTGATGGCAGGCGGGTGTTAATCACCAGTGATGTCTTCAAGGACACCCAGCTCTGGGTGTTTTGAAGGGGTTTCAGAGGAGGGCAGGTGGCTGTAAGCTGTGTCCGTGCGTGCCTCCAGGTTCAGTTCACACCAGTTTGTGTAAGGAGCCTGATGCTGTTTCTGTTGGAGACCTAAGGGGCAGCTTTCACTCCCCGACCTGCTCCAGGCCCGGTCTCGCTGATGCCTGCTGTCTCGCCCGGGCGCGCTGCCAGCCGCCAGCTCTCTGAAGGTCACACTTGCTGACAGCAGATGTGCCCTGGGTGGGCAGGACATCTCCGTGGCTCCTGTGCCAGGCTGGGGAAACGCAGGGGAAGAGGCTAACGCTCAAGCACTCCCTGCTGTCACCAAGGTGTCCCCAGGGAGGCACCGCCCTGTTTCCCCAAACCTGCTGGGTGGAAGCGAGCCGGGTGGCTCACTGGGAAGCACGCGGGGCGAAAGAGTCGCTGTTTCGGAGGTCTGCGCTGTCCTCACCCCCCGCCTCTTCCCAGCAGCCTCACCCAGATCGCCTACCTTTTTACTGCTCCTCATTATTGTCCTCATCAATAATTAAGCTGCAAGTCCCTCGCTGTTGGCTGCGCCAGGAAGCGGAGGCCGGGCGCGCTCTCCCTCCC